GAGACACACAATGGACAAGACAAATCGATGTTGCGCTCTTTCAGCAAGCGTTGTGGAACGTAGGATGACGGATCAGTACAGGCCTTGGCCGATACAGCGCAATGATATACTCCAGTTGATGGTTCCTTGCAAACACCAGTAAGAACGTCTTCGCAGAGGCACCCACTAAACCAGGCCTTGTTGGGTAGGCGTGCTTCTTCCCATCGTTCCTTGGACAAATCGCATTCCGACTTGTCCCAGACGCATCGAATATCTCTCCAATCACGATCATCGTTGTCGGTTCGGGGTGAACAGTACGAAAAATATGTTGGGAGGCCTGTTTTGCTGTTTTGATACAGGTTGCAACCCGAGCCATCGGCTTCAAAACGAAAGTCGTAGAGACAAGAGTCTGCTTTGTTCGTACACTCTACTTGATCGGTCGCTGATTTGCATTCGCCCCAATTCTGTGTCAGTTCTGCGGGACAGCGGAGACCTTCCTTCGCGAGCCTCTCTGAAGAAACAAATTTAGTTTCTGGCGGACAGTCGATTGATTCCATCGCACACGATGTATAAGAAGATGGAGAAGAATCATTTTCTTTTCGRCAAGCTCCTGCCGTGTATGAATCAAAATACTTGTCTTCTGGATCTTTGCAAAAACGACACTGAAAGGTTGCGCGCTCCGATCCCAAAAAAGCTCTGGCAGATATCCATCCGTACGTGCTAGGACAATCCCCGGGCGAAATAGCACAGAACGAATTTTCCCGCGTCAGGTTGTTGTCATCTACAGATCCTGTCGTTTGATAGCAAACTCCGGTTGGAACATCTTCGCAGTGGCAGGGGTCGGGGCCCCACTCGGCGGCCCACTTGGAATATTTTAGGTTTTCGTGAGAAAGGCAGTACTGTTCATCGAGTGCGCACTGCCACGACTGCGCATCGGAGTCCCAACAAGCGGGAAAGGTCGTGCGCTTAAATAGTTTCTCGTTGCTGCTCTTGCTGTCAACTAGTAATGAACACGAAGAGTCAATTGATTCGTAGAAAGAAGATTTTGTTCCGCAGGAAATTGAGGAAGGGCCACAACGGTTGTCATCCAACGATGATGCACAGCGACCTATTACCACATCGCTGGGTGTTTTGCAAGGTTGGTTGCTTTCGTAAGGAGGACTGTATACTTCTGCTCCGGTTTCGCAGGATACCTCTGAAATAACGCAACGGTTTACATTCTGCGTGACACCGTCGAGACAAACTCCGTATTGAGGTGTCGAAATATCAGGTAGGGGTTGAAGATTAGCCATGGCAGAAAACAATTTGACAAAGCTATTTCTGGTATTACATTATTCGTACTCCTTGCAAAACGATCAATTCGTATCGAATTAGGTGCAGGAAGTATTCATCGCGAGATTCATCAAAACACACGATGTGCGATCCCCTCGCTGTATTTCAAAAAGATTCTTAAATAATCATAATACCGAACAAAGTTTAYGAACTTATGCGCAAAATAATAAAGCCCTAATAGGCGCGTGGCAGACCAATTGCGATACTTCGCCAGACGCGTGTGACCCGTGTCACACTTGTTCCTTTACGATCTTTCTAGCATCTTTTAACTATGTCAACAATTTCTCTCCCCGTGCCAAAGATTTCCACTTTTTTTTACTTCTTATCTACATCGCACATTTTTATTGAGACAACAACAATCTTGTTGGTGCTAAAGATCTCTCACATTAAATTTTTGCTACATGAACAATAAMAGAATGAAATTCTCCACAGTATCTCTYCTRGCGGTGATTTTTGCTTCGACGCCGTGCCTAGCCGCATTGGAACGTAGCTTTACCGACGACTCGGGTATCACCCATACGACATCACTAGAAAAGCCTACTATCGTGACATTCGCCCACACCGCCACTTCTCTTTTTGACTATGGTAAGTATTGCRATGCTCAAACAAGTAATTCTGTGGTCTTCGAACTTTCAGTTCTTTCTAATTTACATTTTTTCATATTGTTGCTTTTGCAACAGGTCTCGGTACGGATCAGCTCTTAGGAACGTACGGAGAATACGTCGTGACAGGTAGCGACTTCGATTTTGACGAACCCGGGCAAGCATCCTCCTTCAATGCTGATCCAGAACCTAACGACATTGCTATGTTACAAAAAACCGAAAACCTGTCCCCAGAGTGCGAACGCACACCCGGATACTGCACTTCATTCGAGGCTGACAAGCTTGTTGATCTAGATCCTGACTATTTAATAGTTCACGGATACGCAGATAGCCCATGGGGCTTCTCAAATTTCACCGAACAGGTACTTGCCGTCTTTCCCGAGACCAAAATTATTTATAATGATGTCTCTCTCAGAGGAGATGATTGCCAAACTCATGAAAATTGTTATGGTATCTCTATGATTGACTTGATAGAGAAATATAGAGAGCTCGCAGCTTTTCTGAATCTGGAAGAGCCAGCTCAACTCAGTCAAGATTATGCTGATTTATGTWCTGCAGCAACTGAGTTTAGTGCAACGATGAAAGTAGCCCACGATAAGGGAATCCGGACAATGGCTGCCTATGTTGATCCAAGTACGGCGTTCTATGCAAGTCCAGTGGACGATGTAAGTTGTTAAATTATTCTTTCCGTYAAAAGAYCTCGCCATKCATCGTTACAACGYGGACTTACCTTGASATCATTGGAATTTTTTATGTTTCTTCAACATTCGCCGTTATAATCTAGATCGTTCTGAGAATGTTCGAAGAGTTGGGAATGCCAATCCTTCATATAGGAAAGTGCGARGATTGCTCTTTGAACTATTTCTGGGAATCCATTCCTACGGAAAGTTACTTTGCCTCATGTACGGATGAACAAATTAATGCAACCGACTTTGAGTCTTGCAACGATAATCCATTGTATCCTGTGGATGTTTGGTTGTATGATCATCGAACACGTGCGGTTGTAAACAGCGAAGACTTCCCAATCGTTTTTCCAGATTTGGCATTGATGAATGGTCAATTCGTTGAATGGCCAATCGGTGGACGCAAAATCACTCCACGTCACGCAGTTGAGATCCTCAACTCGGTTGGCCCTGCGGTTGCTGGATCGAGTCGTATTCAYGACGAGACGACGTGTGTCCCTGGCTTGAATGTCACCAGCCAAGAGCATCGCCAGAGTGGCAGCGGCGTGAAGGGTGCAGGTGCCGGAGAATACTCATGTTACAATCCGGATTATCATAACACAAAGTACTTGCAAGGTTGTGCAGCTGTCAAAGAGACTGCAGATAAAGAAAAATCTGGAGCTTGCTACGACATGAGCACACATGAGTGCTCTTGTGATCCAGGTCGGTGCACTGAAGAGCTTTGTGTAGGCAATTCAGGGGTGTGGACCGATCGATGCCCAAATCACTGCACAAGTTGTTCAGACGAAGAGCCAGCGACTCCATCAAATGGCGATTCGGCAACTCCAAGTGTTTCTAATGGAGAGAAAAAGCCAGTAGTAAACGTCTCTCCTACATTCACTGCCGACGGAGACGAGGCTTTCACACCTTTCGCAGAAAATCCCCTCTATACGAGTGCAGCCGTCCAGACTGTCGAGTTCAGTGTCTCGGCAGTAGCTTTTTCGATGGCTGTGATTTTCGCAAGCTTTCATTGATTGTTGAGTTTCTTGTTACCACGGTATTTGTTGAATTCGAGTGAAGTATTCSAGTCTTTTTGAGCGTCCATTGTAGTAATGTGWTATSAATGTCGGTCCTAGTGAACTATATAGTGAAGAGAATATTTTCTGAAGTTGTTAGGTAAACGGTACATTTTTCAAAATGCAATGATATAAGTAAAATGGTTCTATTCTAATATTGTGTTTTTCTGGATCAGCGTGGTGCATTAGTTCTCAACGTGAGTCTGTTTTGGAATCAATCCCTCCATGTTCTATTGCAAATACTTSTTCATAACTTTATTTTTACTTTAGATATCCAAGTTGACAAAACAAGGTATTATTTTATTTGTGACAGGGTCCTATGATTGTGAAGGCATCATCCTTACTAACCAAACATGCGTCATCTTGATGTACATCTACTTCCTCCCTATCATCTTCATAATTTTTAATTGAGCTGAGAGTGAATCTGTTGCATTCAGAATCCTCGCATAGGAGTGGTTGTAGGCAATAAATATTTGTCCCTTAAAAAGCCGACAATTGATTCCCATCGGTTTGGATGAAGTTTGGGTCTCTATTTTGATTGAATTCTTTWGATGTATTTGTGAGTGAAGAAATTGAATAACTGCTACTATCATTATATTTGCTCCCATTTTGTTAAGCAGCAGGTATTGAATTTATCTTGGGACCGCCAACCAMGTTCTGTTTATTTTGCCTCCAAAAGTTCTTTCCATGTCGCCTGGAGTGAGGCCAAGAACTTCTGGTTCTCTTCCGGGGTGCCGATCGTCACTCGGATGCACTGGTTGCAATGCATTTCGTTGCCCCGGAATCGCGTCACGACCCCGGTGTCGGCCATGCGTTTGTAGACATCGKTCGCCTTCAGGTCGTCCTTCACACGGAAMAGCAAAAAATTAGAATCGGATGGATACACACTGACAACAATGCTCGTGAGTGCTTCGAGCGCCGCGCGAACCTTCGCTCGTTCGTCCAGGGTGCTCTGCACATTTTTGCGCAGTGTGTCCATTGAGTTCATTGCATTGATGGCAACCTCACTGGTCAAGGAGTTGACATTGTACGGAGCCTTGACATTGTTCATCAACTGAATGACATCGGGAGGGCCGATGCAAAATCCACACCGGATACCGGCCAACCCAAAGGCTTTCGACAGGGTCTGCAAGACGACAATATTGTTGTACTTTTTCAACAGCGAAACGGCCGAAGCCCCTTCRCCAGCAAAATCAATATAAGCTTCGTCGACGACTATCAAMCCKGGRTATTTTTCCGTTTCGGAGGCAATCTTTTCGACATCCGACAAGGGAATCGCTTTGCAGGTCGGATTTCCGGGGCTRCAGATGAACAAGAGCTTCGTCTTTTCGGTAACGGCTTCCAACGTCTTAGTGGTAATTGGTGTGATATMGTGATATTGTTTTGAAGAAAGGGCAGAAAGTCAGAATTCCTAYTTTTGAAAGACGTGGGAAAATATTTTCGCTTTTCGAAAGAAGGGTTAYAGTAAAGAATTGATTYATTGAAACRYACCTTTGGAATATCCAAGTCAAAATCGGGTGTCAGCGGAGCCGAGACAATCTGCACGTCGTTGACTTTGGCACAAACCTTGTACATGCCGTAGGTTGGCGGGGTGATCAATATGTTGTCTCCGCCGGTACCCGGGGTGCAGAAAATTCGCATCAGCAAATCAATGGCCTCATCTGAACCAACACCAACGAAGACGTTCGAGGGCTGGAGGTCGTTTCCGCGTTCCCGACAGAACAATTCCTTTAGTTTGCTCTGGTAGGGATCTGGGTATCGTTCGAGTGTGTTGGAATTATCATAGGGGTCCAAGGATTTAGTCGGAAGCGATGTAGGGCCAAACGCGTTTTCGTTTGCGTCCAATAAAACGCCGTTGGAATAATCGTCGCGAGCGCAACGATAGGGCTGGAGCTCTAAAATATTGGGACGTGCCAATTTCGCGGCGATTCCTGTGGAAGTTGTCATGTTGCTTATGGATTTGGTTTGTTCGGTGTCGATGGGCTCGTTCGGGAGTTTTGATAGCGACTGTTGCAGTACAGATTGATTTCGCTCGAAATTKTTGAGGCCGTKTTTTTCTTTGTGGTTGCCAACGACTGTCACGAATGAAACAAATGGAAATCGTCGATGGTGCTGGTGTGTCGAGGAGAATGGTGTCGGTGAGGCAGAATGCTTTTCAATGAGAAAAAATAATAGCGAGATGTGGAAACTTCGTCGGTAGAATTTCATGCAGTAAATGAGAGTTTACGTTGTTGTAACTGTGCCGTATCTGTCGATGCACTACTGGACGGTATGGTTTGGGTGTCAAGTATTGTGTTCCAGTAATTGGTTGTTGTCATTTGCAATTGCGTTTTCATATCCGTTTGTCAAACATGCACTTCAAAAAAATA